AGAAATGTCACTGAAGACATTGCAACATCTGCTCTACTTACCACTGGGTCATCAAATGCTTCCATGCCCTGAAAGCATTTGGGCCTGTGTTTCCATGGGAGGAGCATAGTTCCCTGCTGCTCAGCAGGTGACTGAGCCATCTTCAGAGCTGGACCTGAAGCCCATTTTATGCCTTCATATGACTGCAGCTGACATCTTAATTAAGGGAGATCAGAACCATCCAGTTCAGATTCAAGCAGTTCCTGAACTCCTCAACCTGTGTGAAGTAATAAATCTTTTTTGTATTAAATTATTAAATGTAGGACTATGTTGTTATTATTCAACAATAGAAAACTAATATGCTCAGGTAAGAAAATTAAAATCAATATTCAGAGGGCTGCTGACATTGGAATTTGAAGAATTCTTGGCCTCTGAATGCTCCTTCCCTGTTTATGAGGAGGGGAAGCTACTTGGTTCTGGTAAGAGGTGGATCCAGGTCAGGCAAGACAATTTTACACATTTCTCTGGCATCTGGGGTTCAATCAAGTACTCCAGCACTTGTTCATCTAGGACCCTGAATCAAGATCTAAGGATGGAGATGATGAGATGCAGGGAGGTTTTCAATATCCAGTGGCACTATGACAACACTGTAATTTATGGCATTCCCTGTGGTCCAGGACTTATGGCATTAGTGCCTTTCCTCGGTAGATTACATTTTCCCTCCTCATTTCCTGAGACTGAATTTCCAGCCGCAGAGATCTAACGAGCTAGTCAATGTTCTTCAGCAAACATCTTTGTTGCTTAAACAATTACTGTATGCATACTGCATCATGGCAGGTGCAACAAGAGCCACATGAGAAGAATCGGAGACCTAAAAATATCTGAATTCAACAGGAAGTGTCTCATTCTGGCTGACTGGATCTGTCTTCTAAACCACAGCTTAATGTGTAAAAAGCTGAGTCATGTTATGGAGAAACAAAGACTAAAGGGCACAGACTCTAATTCATTATAGGTAAGTATCAGTAGGTACCAGCGGCTTGGGGTTCTCAGACGTTAGTTGTGGGGGTCCTCTTTCCCCTCTCAGCCTGTTGGCCACCAGGCTGGGAGAGGAAAGAGGGAGATGGGGTGACAGAAATCTTTGGCGGCCCATGAGCTCAAACAATGACAACCCTCCGGAAGACAGATTTCAGTGAATCAGCTCGATTTTATTCCAGAGTATGAGAAATATATAGGATTGCGGGGCCTGGGAACAAACCCTATTTTGCATTAAGTGGCATGCTTCTATCACAAGGCTTAGTATGTGGCAGTAGGGTCCTATGGAAGCGTCCCTAGGGTAAGTCTCCTCAGCAGGGATGTGGGCCAAAGGTCAAGCTAAAGATATCAGGAATCTGGTTTTAGAGACAGCTTTTAGATAAGGTCGATCCTCCAGGACCAGAGACAGTCTCAAGATAAGGGCAGGTAGAAAGCAGGAAGCTTAGCTGGAGGGAAGGAACTCTATGTTGCTAAGCTTATTGAGATAAGATCCTAGGCCATGGGGAGGATGCAATCTTGGATAAGCCAGCAATGTCTTCCAACAGTTAGTGATTTACAAATGAAGTGATCGTCAGTCTACATGTTTTCCCTTCAGTAGCCTTATACTTATATGTTTATTATCACACTAGAAATAATTTAAACATCTTTCCTGAACTGCAAGAAACAGAAGCATCTAGAAAAGAAAAGAAAATTTAATTTTAAAGCCTTCCCAACTAAAGAAGGGGCACAAAGAACATAGAATTAATTCTGCACACACTATGATGTGCTTGGAATCAAAACTAAATATAAAAGTATGAGCTAGTCATAAATATCAGACTTTATATTGTTTTCCAAAATAATTGAGGAGGCATATCCAGGACAGATCTTGGATGTAATGCTCCATTCTTCTCCTCATATGCCTTTAATTAATTCTTAAGTTAGAAACTTTCATAAGTTCTGGTGTTGTTGGGCTGCTAAATAGATCTGTAGGCAGGCCAGAAAATGACCTACATGGAAAAAAAATGAAGAAAGATCATGGCTTCTTGCAGGTCACATTGGTAAGCAAGATCAGCTCTGTTTGAATCTGCCCTTGGTAGCCCCTTTGCACTGACTGTCTCAGTCAATCTTGGGGCTCTTCCCCTACCTTCTACCAAGAAAGGTCATTAGACTGTGCTTCTTTCCACTATTTTGAAAATGTGTTTTTACTATATTTCATTTCATTTCATTTATTTAGTGTGTGTGTGTGTGTGTGTGTGTGTGTGTGTGTGTGTGTGTGTGTGTGTGTATGTGTCCACACATGTGAAGTCAGATGACAACTTGCAGGAGTTGATTCTCTCCTTCCACCACATCGGTCCAGGGGATTAACCTCAGGTTGTGACCCTGGGTAGCTAATGTTTTTACCCATTGAGCCATCTTGCTATCCCTGAAAAAATATATTTTGAATTATGTAAAACACCTATACATATTCTTGGTGCAAAATTCAAATATTACTCATCAAACTTCTCTTCCCCATCATCTACTACCCTGCTTGCAAGCTTCCAGATGTTTCTATGTTTACATACTGAATTATATAGGTGCAGGTGGAAAGCTCAGCTTCTACTCTGGTTTACAAAAAAAATAATCCGAATTACTCTCAGCCAATCAGCCCCCTTCTTCCCCTTTTCCACTATGCCTATCTCAACTTTCTAGTAGTTAGGAAAGTATCTGTTTGGCCCTCCATGTTGTCTTATCAAAAGCATTTAGGAAAGGAAACATCAGTACTATTTTCCAGCTCTTCAAAATGAAAATGACTTGACCATGTCAAGGTTTGTAAAGGTAAGAATAGCCTTCTGTTTAAAAATAAGAATAAAAATAAAGCCAGATGTGGTGGTGTGCATTTGTAAGCCCAGCACTTGAGATACAGAGACAGGAAGAGCTTTGGGGCTAACTGGCCAGCCAGTCTCCTCTAATTGGACTGATGAGCTCCAGCCCAATGAGATACCTCTGTCTTAAAGGATGTAGACAGCGTTCCTGGGGGTGATATGTGAAGTTGTACTTTGACCTCCAAATGTATGAGCACGCACACAAACAAACAACAAATAAATTAATTAAAACTTTAAAATCTAATTAAAATAAATAAAAACATCTTATAGAGCTTGTCAAAGCCGGAGAAGTCCTTCAGAGGTAACCACTGTCTTTTCTGCCAAAACTCCTTAGGGCATTCACTGTCTGGGCTCTGCCAGAGAGAGACAACCCTCCACCGCTCACACCCCACAAAAGAATCCATGCTCTCATTGCTCCGTGTGTCCAAGTCTTCCCAGTTCTCAGTTGGAAGCAATTTGGTTTTCTTGTTTAGAGTAGTAAGCGGAGATGATTGTGAGTTCCTTGTTCGCCTAAAAACATTTGTGCTTTGAAAGATCAGACTTAGGAAGACTCACTCACGTAGGTGGCAGTTCTACCTCTCGTCTCCTTGTGTCTCTCTGACATAGTGAGCCTAAGATGGCCAAGTTGGAAACGGAAATGGAGTAATTAGAATGCCTTCTAAGACTGTTTCATGCTTGCTGTACACGAACTTCGTCTTTCGTGTATTATTCTCTAGCTTGCTCCTTCCTCTTATTATTGTACCTTGAGGGTCTTCCCCTATTGTTGCATATAGCTTATTCATTTTCTAACAATTGGTTGAACCCCTACTGTGCCAGACAATATACGCCAGTGGTTCTCAACCTTCCTAAATGTTGCGACCCTTTAATACAGTTCCTCATGCTGTAGTGAACCCCAACCATAAAATTATTTTCGCTGCTACTTCATAACTGTCATCTTACTACTGCTATGAACCGTAATATAAATATCCGTGTTTTCAATGGTCTTAGGTGACCCCTGTGAACGGGTTATTCCAGCCCAATGGGGTCAAGACCACCAGGTTGAGAAACACTGCCGTATGTTTTCCAGAAGGTGAGAAACAATAGCCAACATGCTATGAATATCTACTCTAGCTGAAGGCAAGAGGACTGTGTGGAAGGAGAAAGCAGAGCAAAAGGCACAGACAGGGTGGCACTTTTCACAGCTTCTGCCAAGGTAATCTTACTCCTTTTGGCTACTTCATAACATTGTGTCCCTCTAAAAAGTGATACTGGTAATACTGAGGTCAAACCCCCACTACACCTCTTCTTTTGCTGTTCTAAATCATGCTGTAGCATTTCCCTGGTGCATGTGAAGGGCTGTATTCAGTGCATACTGAAGGTGGGACCGATACCCATGCTTGTGAACCGCCCTCTGCTGTCTTAGCTTGTACTTTCATCAGATGCTGCTTGCCCCCTTCCCTCTCTCAACCATGGAGTCTATCAAGAGTAGGAACAGCATAATTTGACTTATGAAACTGACTTCTTTAAAACTGCCACTGCCTTGGTTATTAATGGGTAAGCTGGATATTATTTCACATGTGTTGGGCACGGATAGTTCCTGTCTTGCAAAACTGGGCCTTAGAGGTTTTGCCTGTTCGCTTCTTTCTAATGGAAAGGGATGGGCCACGTTGGCCTGCATCAGTCAGTACCATCCACTGGCAGGCACTTGGACGGTAATGGGATCTGAGGCCGTAGTTGTAAGAGAACAGTGGAAAATGTTACCAGCGACTGACCTCCTTCACCCCTGCTGGCATGGCTGCCTTTCTCTGCACATTTTATGTTGCGTGGGGGAAAATGACTAAAGACAGATGCTTCTTGCTGGCCCGAGAGCTGTTTAATCATTCTTTCTAGTCCCAAGACATTCACTGTAACGTTTTGGAGCTGATATCTTGGGCTGCTGCTTGGTTTTCACTGTCTTGTAAATGATGTTGCAATTTTCCATTCCACAGAAAGGGCAGGTCTGTGGGAGAGTTTCTTTAAAGGTGTTAGGCTGCGGATGATATTCTCAGGCCAAAAGCTTTAAGACTGGGAATGAAGGAATTTGGGGTTTGTAAATAAGCCACGGGGTCTTCTTGCAGGGAAAAAAATTAAAATATATAACCTTGCCTGGCTCCTAGGTCCCACACAGCCTCAATCAGGTCTATAGAAGTGCTCATGTCCATTGAAAGGCTTGACAATCACCTCAGATCTTCCTAATAGGTTCTGTGGCTGCCTGGGAACCTTGGGATGCTGTATGGTAGACAAGATACCTTTCAAAATGGTGGTAAATCTCATCTTAACCACAGACCACTGTTCTCCAGAGGGCTTGGCCCTCTGTTTTCAGAAGAGAAAATGAGAAGTGTAATGTACTCAAGCATTTTCATCACGTTACCAGGCAACAGTATATGATCAGTCCCTCATATAACTGTCTCCCAGTCAGGATCCATTCTTTTTTTTTTTTTTTTCAGGATCCATTCTTACTGACAGACACATCATTGAAACAATTTGGAATGTGATTTTTTTTTCTTTTTCCCTAAAAGCCCTAATATTAAATTAAACCTCATGATTCCTCCTGTTTTGACGTACTGTGTTCCGTTTACTGTTGATGAACGTGAGTCTGTGGATGCTTTCTCTCTTCCTCTGGTTAGAGTTGTAGACAGTCTCGATTCACCCCAGAGCTTCCCTCTGCAATGCTGGATAGATAGCTTCTTTCTCTCATAATGACTAAACCTCCGAAGCTTCACAGAGAAAGACAGACTGGTCATGGGATCCTGTCTGTGTTTGCCCATGTGTGAGCTCTCAGAGTCTCTCACAGGGGGACAAGGCAGGAGTAGTGAGGAAGAAAGCCCTGAAATGTTTTCCTGGGACACAAGGACCCTTTGAATAGGCTGGCAGACAAGATTTTGTGTTTCTGCAGCATCCTTCTTAGGGACATTAATGACCAGATAAAGATGATCTTCAAAACCCTCTCTTCAGCTGGTCTAATCATAGGAATTGTATTTTTTTTGGTTTTTTGAGACAGGGTTTCTCTGTGTAGCTTTGAGCCCTTCCTGGAATTCACTCTGTAGTCCAGGCTGGCCTCGAACGCACAGAGATCCGCCTGCCTCTGCCTCCCGAGTGCTGGGATTAAAGGCGTGTGCCACCACCACCCTGAGGGATAGCTCAGCCGTTAAAAGCTAGGCTCACAACCAAAAATACAAGAGGAATTGTATTCTTATTGCATGGTGGGAAGCCAGAACAGGGAGAAATACTTGAGCAAAACCCGTGTCTTCAGCTCAGAGAGGAAGGCCCACTCTCTCCATCGGCCTCATCCAGCAGACCCACTGCCTGTTGTAGGCCCGTTTTGGTTCTCCACTACATATGAGCCCGTGTTCTTGGCTGCTCATTGGATCTTCAAATCAGCGTTGGATGAATCAGTCAGAAGATTTGGACATTCTGTTCAGAGAACTTTACAAATTCATCAAGATTTAGCTGGATCTGCGGAACATCGCTGGCGATCTTAAAAACTGTCTTCTGTTCCCAAATGACTCCATGAAACGCAAGACAAGCGTGAGGAAATAATACAGTTTCTGTCACCCAGATGGAGATCCACCCTGACCACCCAGGCCGTCCTCTCCTCCTGCCCTGCCTGTCTTCCCTGAGCTTTCCCACTGTCAGATTCGTGTGCATCTTTTAACTCAGTTCCACTGTCACCACCTTGATCAGCAAGGCCTCCCACACGTCCTCCCGTTCTGTCTTTTTCACAGTGCCCCAGGTCTCCACACGCTCCTCTCCCACAAGGACCTGGGCCTGGTAGAAAATTGATCTTAAGCCCGGCTCTCCGCCCGGCTCCGCCTGTCTCCGCAAAAGGACTAATCAGTATTGAGTATCTTCCCCTCTTCTTTTCTGGGCATCACACGAGCTTGGCCAATCAGACGAGAAAGATGAGGCAGGTGGGGGCTTTGGGGCCTTATGAGTAAGATATGACCAATCCTCTTCCTCTGAGAGTGCCATTGTCTGGCTTGGCCTTGGAAAGTAGCTGTGTTCTCTTGGTAAGCAGTGAAGCAGAGCAGCTGACTTCTTAGTAACACCGCATGACCACTGAATCTGAGAGTCTCGGTTTCCTCTTTTAGAAAATGAGGAAGTTGACCTAATTTATCTGTAGCTTTCTTCTAGCATTAGAATACTGTATGTGCCTCTAGATATGAAGGGGGAGGACCTAGGACGTGAAAAAGGAGAGCCCATTTTACCCAAAGTCATTGACACTAGCAAGCCATTTTTCTACATCTGAAGAAATGATACTAACCTTGGCTCACCCGTGGAGAAAATTTAACGATCCTCCTTCTTTCAAGTGTGAGTGTCCACTCCCAACTCATTTGGTAAGCAAACATTTCTACTAAAATTAAGTGAAAAGAACAGCCCACGTTTAGGAACTGAAAAGATGTTTTCCTCCTTAAGTAAAAGCTTAGTTCCTTCTCTTCTTGTACCTATTCCAAACAGCACCCGAGAAAAGCTAAAGAGTTAATGAGATGTAGGCTTGTCCTATGGAAAAATGAAGAAATACAGGGTGACTTTGCCTCAGGCAAAGTTGATTTTAGTTTGCTTCAAAATGTTAAAAAGAATTAAGTCGAAGCACCATCTAGTGGTTCTCAACTGTGTTGTGCTTCCAATTTCCCTCCATCTGAGACCACACTGATTTTTGAGTAAGATTATAGTCTTGTGATCAGATTGCCCTGCTCTGAATATGGTGATATTGTATAAAATGGTAGCTTATGCAGCCATGCCTTACCCTGAGGGTCTCCATTATACAAGAGCATCAGACTCCATTTTGGGTGCAAGTGCAGAAGCAGGGTGAGCTTGCTAGGATATAAACACCACGACTTGCTCAGTGCCACCCAGGAGGCACAGACTGAGAGTCCACCTATTCCCAGAAGTAATAGCAGCACCCTACACAGTTATCAAAGCCAATGAGGACTATATGCAAATATAGTCACATCACTAAATTCACATGAGGAAAACCAGACCCAAGGACATATTTAATGGACCAGATTGAGGGAAGGTTAAAACATCCTCACCTATACTGCATAAGGAGGAGGACACCTAACACTGTGATGCCAACAGCCTCACCAACCTGCTGGGGATATCTTTCTGCATGCCGTTAATATATGTTGCTTCCACTGGTTAATAAATAAGCTGCTTTGGCCTATGGCAAGGTAGCTTAGAGGCTGGCATCTCTCCAGACTCTGCCTTTTTCTTTCCTGTCTCTTTCCTTTCTCTGCCTCTAAGCCAAAGCATCTTAGAGATTAACCAATGGGAACAACATATATTCACAACATACAGAAAGACATCCCCCAGCACTAACCTGTTATCCAACCACCATGTGTGTGAGTCAAGGAACCAACACGCATAAAATTGCTAACTGTGTCAGGGGCTTCAGCTTGGCTTGGCCCTTGCTGCTGACTGCCAACAGTCCATCCATCATTCATCTGTAAGGATCATTTAGCTCTAATGCCACTGTGGTCTGCACCTTGCTTATACAGCTTGACTCAACTCTTAGGAAGCTAAACTCTGCCCCTACGACTTGACTCTGCAATAGTAAGAGCAGCATCACTGACAGGCTTTTGGTGGTTAGTTATTGGACCCTTCCTCTCCATGGAGACACTTCTAGAATCCCTATCAGTTTGTTTGTGCTTCTCAGCTATGACTCTTTGGAACATCGTAAAGTCTGCTGCAGCTTTTTTATCCCTTTGTACACATTCTGTAAACTACATAGGTAGATAATAGATAATGGTGATAGATAGATAGATAGATAGATAGATAGATAGATGATAGAAAGATAGATAGATAGATGATAGAAAGATAGATAGATAGATAGATGAATAGATAAATAGATGATAGATGATAAAGATAGATGCACACATATATATGCACACATAACACATACATATATAGATACATAGATATATTTTCTGTGTGATATGTAAAATATGATCTGACAGTGAATATTAATAGTTAAGAAATTAGGTTGCCTCAGTCAACTATCATAGGTTGCCTTAGTCAGACTTGGTACTACCTAACAAATTGCTGTCAGTGGAACAGTGTACTTTATGAATTTATTGTTATTTAGTAAATTCTAGTATTGTGAAAAGACATAAACATCTTCATCTAGTTTCTGACATGGGAGCATCACAATATATAAACATTCATGGGCATGTACTCATACATACCTATATGTGTGTGTGTACATGCATGCGTGGTCAAAAAAGGAAACTTTTCCACATCTGGGTAGAGAAGGAAGATGAGGAGGTTGGACAAGGCAGCTGTGTGGCCTTTCACTCTTTCGGCTAACACCAGATCGAAAACTGTGGCTGTGAGTTGAGTCGGGCTGCCACATCTGTTTTTCTGACTAGTGATGAGTGCAGTCTATTTCAATTCCTTTCTCTCCCTGTTCAGATCCCTCCTGGGAACCCATGCAGTGTTTATTCTCCCCAGTCCCTCAACACAGACATGTCGTCAAATATCTGGAGATCGTCTAACTACTGGATCATCTTTGCACATCCTCAGATTCAAGCACTTTCCAAATTCTTCTAAAATTATCTTGAAGATGACTCTGACACACGATTTCACTCTCCTGAAACTGTGGTTTCATTATCTTTAAGGGAAGAACAAAAATGATCCAGAACGTGAGCATGATGAGTGGGACACAATGAATTTCTACCATAGTAAACTTGCCAATTGACGAACTAAGTATTGTTTCAATTAGAATTAAACTCAGCTACGTGAAAAGTAAAACCTCAAATACACTGTTGTGAAAAACATAGTTTATTCTCTATCACACAAGACAACAAATGGATGGTGGAGAGCTGGATGGGGTAAATCAATGGTCATCAAGCCCAAGTCCTTCCATAGTTCTGTTTATCCACTTCAATTAGTAGCTTCCATCCTCACCATTATCCATGATAAAGTAGCCCTGGGACCTCCAGGCATCACACCAGCACTGCACAAGAAAATCTTTCCTTTTCTTAAAAGGTTGTCCTGAAAACATCACATATCACTTATGCCAGGGCTAATGGTCAGGCTCAGATGCAAGGGAAACTGAAAGAGGCTATTAGCTATGTCTGCCATGAGAAAATGAGAGGTATCTTATTGAGCAATATGAGTTACTTATAAAATTGGTGTTGGGTTATGGAGCAATGTATGAGTTACTTAACACTCAAATGTGCTACCTGATAAGCAACCACATGAACTCTGTGGCAATGACTGTTCATTTGTCTAGGATCAGCACGAGCTCACGTCTCATGATCTTGATTGAGCTTGTTCAGGGTCTAATGGAAAGCTGACTCCTGTATCTTCAAATTGGCCTCAAGAGAGAGATGAAAGTCTTGACTGACCTGGATCAGCTGTATTCTGTTCTCATCCTCCAGCAGGCTAGGCCTTGCATCTTCCCAAGGAATGAAAATTAGAAGCACTCAGGACCTTTTGAAACCCAAACTCAAAACTGACAAACTGTCATTTATGTAACTTCTTATTGGCCAGAGAAAACTACTTGGAGTGAATAAAGAGTACCCATGAACTCTTTATAGAGAGAATTTTAAGATCTAGTAAAAACAAGACTAGAGGTAGGATGAAGATTTAATTATGAAGAGAACTGTCAATCACAAGTAGAACAGGGAAGATAGACAATGAACCAAGCTACTTGCAATCTCTGCCCCTGTATTTCCTAGTCTGTTACAGAATTATAGTGCTAGATCTCTTCCCTCTTTATGTCTTGACTTAAACATGAAGACATTGTAATAAAATTGGAGATAAAAAGAGCTCATACCTTACATGTATTTGAGTGACAATTATGAATAGATGTATTGCTTGACACATGGTGATTTCCTACTATTAAAGTAGACAATAATCTTGATACTAGCACTCTTCCTTCTCTTTATTGTGTGCAGAGATTTGCTAAGTGTGCACCAAGGCTCATTCTTGCTCTTCAAGTTAACCACCTACACTATGTAGGCTTACTACAAGTTAGTGAGGTCATATAACTGAGTACTACTCATGGGATTCAAGCAGGTGTGCTTACTACTCCAGGACTGACTCATAAAGTATTGCACATACAATCTTTCCCTCTCCCTAGTCACCTGCTGAATAGAAACTACTCAGAGAGCAGAGTTATAGAATAAAACAGTAGTTTAGAGAAATACCTGTTTATCTGTAGTGGGTAACTATTTGAGCCATGCCCTGAAGCACCACCCCTAGTGAGGCAGGTGTAGCTGTTACTTCTGCCTATGACCTTGAGGTACCAGCCTCTGGTGTGTGGCCATGGGGGACCCTTAGAACCTGGGATACATGTATGCTGGCCCCTCTTGGCTATCTCATGGTTCTGGATGCTGAGATCTTGGACCAAGCCATTCAGCATGGACCATAGCTCAGCTTTCCGGGACCCTACAATAAATCTCCCATGGTTGTGAGTTTATCTCCAAAGGAATTCTTTGATCATTAAATAGAGTCCATGGATTAATCCAAATATTTATCCTCTGTTCTACCTGATCAACTATTTTAGAGTGTACAACAGACAAGACTCAAACCTTTAAAGAATCACTTGAGGCTACCATCCAGGTATCCTCTAGTATCGTGCATTTATTTTCTTCATAGACTTTTACTAAAAATAAAAGTAATAGCCCAGTCACTTGATACTTTATCCAAGAAATAATTCTTTTAACTAAGAATGTATATTTTTATTATAGAATTACTGTCTGTATCAAGTGAAGACAAGGTCTTAGTTTACAGTTACTAGGGATCACCAGTGTCTTATCCTTACCCTCACTGATCCATCCCAACCCCTGTGAGTCACCATGCAGACAGCAAAGGGAATTGAGGCAATGGGGCTCTAAACAGTAAGGGGATTTTCAGTGTTACCTCCATGACACTGGCAGTACCTTCTCTGGGTTCAACTTTAAACCTCTACTAAAGCACAGAGATACTACTAAAAAAACATGGCTCCTAGTCATATATTCAAATTTTAATATAAAAGGCAACTGTCCAGCTATTTGGTAGCAAGCAAGCAAGGAAAGAAGACCAGCTAATGGCTGACTTGAAAGTGCTGCTCTCACGGTATCTGACAGTGCAATATTTATGATCATGTAAAATAAACCAACAAAGAGAAAGTTGATGGAAGCCCTTCCAGGAGGACTTGGGTGGAAGAAATCCACCCAGCACTGTTGTTCATCTTTTGCTAAGCCGTCTTCTTCTTTGGCATGAGAAGCAGGGATGGGAGAGAGTGCATGGTCATTAATAGCACGTGAGATGGTAAGCACCAAGCTTTTGCCTGTATGTTCATACTGCATGACTGCCAGCTGTCACAGGACTTCTAGCAAACATGGAGACATCAGGAACAGGTATGCTGGATGTCAACAAGAAAGGTGACTGCAAATGGCTGTTTTCTTGTATTGTGTCATCAGACTAATAGGCTTTAGAAATCTAGATTTTCATTCTCTAGAAATAAACAAAAAATACAATTAAGCAGGAATGAACAGAAACCCACACAAGTCAAGAAACTTGTAAATAAACTCATAAAGTTCCAGCAACTTGATTTCTACCACTGATTCCTAAAACAGAGGGCCAGCTAAGTCCCTGCTCAGTCAGAACTGCAGCAAGACAGACCTTTTGTCAGAGCTCTGGGCTCCATTGTTTAAAACAGTCTGATGTTGAAGAAGGGCTGAGGGAACAACCTTGATGGGGCCATATAACATACTTTCCCAGTCCACTGTGAGCTCAAACTCATGACAATGTTTTCTAACACATCTTAACATTTCAGTTTTCTGTTCCTACCTGAAGTAATTTCTCTTCTGGAAGAAAGAAAATCCTATGATGAGCAAAATGATTCCCAAAAGGGAAAGTTTCACATAGAGAATGGTCAACAAGGAATGCAGAGGGCTGGTGACACCTTTAAATACAGGCAAGGGTAAAAATTCAGGTCAGTTCAATTATAGTTCCAATCGATAAATTAGAGGCAAACAGCTTTAGAATCACTTACAGTATTCCTAACCTTTTAGAGAATGTCAAAATCAGAAAACCTTACCAATTATAATTTCATTAACATTCGTATGTCATTATTTCTGGATCAAGTTTAGAAATTAAGTCCAGCTTTTATGCTTGATAGTCATTAACAAATGCAAAAGTGAATAAATGTATACTGACTATTGTTAGTGCTTCCCAGTTATATAATAAAAGTTTCCATGCAAACCTTATTTTTATGAAAATTTAATTGCATTATTTTCATCCATTCCTCTTTCTTCCTCCAATCTCCTCCATTTGTCCCCACCTCCCAATGCTCCCTTTCAAATTCCTAGCCTCTTCTAAATTGTTATTGTTGCATATTTATATTTAATGTGTAAATACATTCTACTGAGTCCATTCAGTGTTGTTTGCATGTACATGATTTCATGACTGACCACTTGTATTAGATATTAGGTATTAGATAACAGATTAGGGGGCCTTTCCTGATGGAAGACTACTTCCCCCCTTCTCAGTACCCTTTAGTTAACTATAGTTTTTTTTGTCTAAAGGAGAGTCCCCCTTCCATGTCTGCTGTGGGATGGTCTGTATGTTAAATTGCTCTGATTGGTCAATAAATAAAACACTGATTGATCAGTGCCCAGGAAGGAAATATAGGCGGGACTAACAGAGAGGAGAATTGAGGGAACAGGAAGGCAGAGAGAGACACTGCCAGCCGCCACCATGACAAGCAGCATGTGAAGACGCCGGTAAGCCATGAGCCACGTGGCAAGGTATAGATTTATGGAAATGGATTCATTTAAGCTATAAGAACAATTAGCAAGAAGCCTGCCACGGCCATACAGTTTGTAAGCAATATAAGTCTCTGTGTTTACTTGGTTGGGTCTGAGCGGCTGTGGGACTGGCAGGTGACAGAGATTTGTCCTGACTGTGGGCAAGGCAGGAAAACTCTAGCTACACATGTCTGCAGATCTATTGCTGCTTTACTTGTTCAGGTCTTGTTTAGGCAGTTTATAACTGAAGTTTCCTGCCTGAAGCTTCCCAGTCGTTTCCAGGAGACACAATATTATAGTAGATTTCCTTGTCCTATGGCTCTTCAAATGTTTCTGCCTCCTCTTCTACAATGTTCCCTGAACATTAGGTGTAGGAATTGTGTTGTAGATGTATCCATGGGGGTTGGACATCACATGATCAGCATTTTCTGCCTTTTGACCATTTGTGGTGTTCTGTAATGGTTTCTGTCTGTTGCAGAAAGAAGCTTCTTTGGTAAGAGTTAAGAGCCACACTTATTGGTGGACATACGGGTATGTAGAATTTAGATAGGTATTATGCTGGTTTAATGAAGGGCTGAAGTAGGTTCATCTCTTAGATAAATGGTCTCACTAACCTTGAGAAGTTGGCTAGGTTTCCAGTATCAGGCATGAATGTCCTCCTATGGAGTGGGACCTTGAATATAATTGGACAGCTATTGGTTGCTGCCCAGATATGATTGCCACTATTGAACCTTAGGGACCAGCCTTGCTGGTCATTGTTGTGGTTCATAATCTTCATAATTAGATGGTACTACCAGTTGCTTCCCTCTTGAGGTAGTTTTCACACCTTTGGTGACTACGAAAGTTAATCCTCAGGGAGGAGGTTTTCAGGTCAAATCCAGCTAAGATCCTCTGAGTCCTCTGTCTGAAGTGCATCCCATGCAAATCTTAGTCTTTTGAAAGGTATTATTTTTTATTTAAAAATTTTCTTTGAGAATTTCATACAATGTATTTTGATCATGTTTACTTACAACTCCTCCTCCTCCTTCCTCTTACCAGATCCACACCCCACTTTGTTATCCCATTAACTTTGTGTCTTTTGTTGTTGTTGATAACTCACCGAGACTGTTTTGTTGTCAGAATTTTCCCAAATGACTACAAGACATCAAACAGTGCTAAGTGAGGATGACACACTCTAAACATCTGAAGACAGAAAGGTTACTCAGCACTAGCTCTAGGTCCTGGAGAGATGGGATTAGGAAAGTACCAGCTGGCCTGCTTGATGAAAGATGTTAGGGGAGGAGAACATCTCAGGGAAAAGGAGCGACTTGAAAAAAATCATCTGAGAATGAAGTACCCTGAATCATGTTTGGAATACAAAAAAAGGGACATGTGGAGATCAGATCGATGATGAACAGAGCCTAATTACAGGTGTTTATGTTAGGTGATGTGTCAGACTTAGGAAATGCAGAATTGGAAAACATTGTTCTTACTCTTGAGGAGCTTTTAGGGGCAGAAAAGTAGCTATTTGAGGTACAATGAGAAATAAAAAGCCTATATGGTGGCACACGCCTTAAACCCAGCACTGAAGAGGCAGAAGCAGGTGGATCTTTGTGAGTTCGAGGCCTGTCTGGTCTACATAGTGAGTTCTAGGACAGCCAGAACTATCTAAAGAGACCCTATCTCAAAAAACAAAAATAAATGAATTTAATTTAAAAAGAAATACATAGATGGTCTTTGTTCATCTTCTGGAACACAGCTCCTAGAAAAATTGTCACCATAATAAAAATATCTTTGGTATGCCAGTAAAATGACAGGTGTCTAGAAGCTCTTAGCTTCATGGTGGAGACTATCATCAGAAAGGCTAAATTGTGATTAGAGAGTTGAAACTTGGGGCCAGACACTACCACCATCTTCACCCCTGAACCTCTTGTGAAGGAAGAGTGGCTAGAGATTGAGTTCATCACCAATGATCCATAATTAGTCATCACGACCATGTAACAAAATCTTATTAGCAATCGTAAACAATACAATTTGAAAAGCTTCTTTGGGGAATTAGAAGAACAGCCATCCTTGCGATACCATGAAGCTCTATGCCCCTTCCTCCATAGAGGGTCCTATGAGTCTCTTCTGTTTCTCTGTCCCCATGTTGCAGTCATTATAATAAACCAGTAACAGTAAGCAAAGTGCATCCTCAGTTCTGTGAACCAGTCTACCAAATCAATGAACCTAATACATAGATGGTAGAAACATCCTGAATTTATAGTTAGTTTATAAAAACTTCAGGAGATAGATAACTGAAAACTTGTTACTAGTATCTGAAGTAAGTCTGTTGTCCTAGTTAGTTTAACTGTCTACTTGACTCAAGAGACACCAACTGGATGGCATCAATCCCTGGGCAGGTGAGATAGATAGGTAGGTATATAGATAGATGGATGGATGGATAGATAGATAGATGGATGGATAGATGGATAGATGGATGGATGGATGGATGGATGGATGGATGGACGGACAGACGGACAGACAGACAGACAGACAGACAGACAGACAGACAGACAGACAGATAGATAGATAGATAGATAGATAGATAGATAGATAGATAGATAGATAGAAGACAGAGAGATATAGATAACAGTATGAGTTTAAGTAGCTCACAAGCTTCTGCTTGAGGTTTCTTGACTTTCCTCTTTACTTCCTTAAGTGGCTTTTGTCATAAACAGGATGAACTTCAAATATTTATCTTTCATGGAAGAATAAGTTAAATATTAGTTATTTCTTCTTTAAAGAAAAATCAGGTACTCACCTTGATTCAGTTCTATGGACAGAATCTTGCTGCCATTTGAATGGGTGACAGCGCAGAACACAGCAGACACATTGCTCTGATCCCACTGGCATGTGCTCCTGACAGTCACGGTGCCATTGCTGTGTGATTCATTCATAGTTTTGCAGTACCCTTCTGGAGTCCAGGAGATCTGTGCAGCTGGCTTGCCTGCAGTCGCCTCACAAACTACAGTTCTGCTTTTCCCTGGAGACAGGGTTACTACAGGGGGGACTGTGGAGATCGAAGGGGAAAAAATTCAGTTGTGTCACAAATTACAAAAGGATTCATTTCTATCTAAAATCCAGTGAAATACAGCAGTAGGTTAACTTGTTGCTTACCTAGCACTTGGAGGTACCATCTTGCATAGAAATTCCCATCAGATGTTGTTATCTGACATGAATAATGCCCATCATGATCGAGGGCCACTGCATTGATCTGAAGATCAGGACTCTGGTCAGGTGTGGAGGCCCAGGTGATTCTCCTGTCCACACAGTTGGTTTCATTGGTCTCCTTGGTTTCTACTTTGAAGGATATTATGCAGGGAGGCTGGCCTCTGGGGATTATTACCCATGTTATTAATATTACTTTTGACAGTGGAACAGGAGGGCAGCCAAACAGAGCCTTTGTACCCATCTGTACAGGCTCTGTAATATTAACTGGACACAGAGAGACAGAGAGACAGAGAGAGACCGAGATAGAGACAAACAGGGGGAGGTTAATAAAGGACATGGTATGTTTGATTTACCTATAGTAGATTACATTATGTTGTATTAGTTGAGTGTCTTTTGTTCTGGCAATTGTACCCTAAAAACTGTGTAATAAATAAATTACAAATCACAAAATATGCATTATTTTTAAAACAAATTCAAATACTAATTGTATGCTCTCATATACATTTTGGTGAATCAGTGTGTATTGTAAGGCATTTGAAGTTAGCATAACAGTTTTACTATCTAGAGACAGACACTTGCTTCTCAGTCTTTGAGCTAAGATCAAGTAAGCCAGACATAAAAGCACAATAAAATTACATTAAATTACAAAAATAGTGTTCTAAGTCTATTTTTTTGATGGTAGACAATGTTGGTGTCATCATACAATTCATGCTCCTCCGGAAACAAAATGGCATACTCAGTCATGTGATTGTCTCCTCTTAGGCTTGATAAGTAGCAAAATAATTAGCAAGCCTCCTCCTAAGGATTGAGATGAACATTAATGTGCAAAATATAAAGACACTATCATTAAAAGTAACCCATAGCATTTACATGAAACTAGTTAGAAATTTTTCTTTTTATTTACAGACTACAAACAAGTGAAATTTAAAACATTATATAACTTCCCCAGCCTGACCATATCATGAAAAATAAAAATAATAATCAGTAGAAATAGAATATGCTTAGAAATATTTGCTTCCAATGAAAAAGTGTAATATTTGTTTGCCTTTCCTGGAACTCACTCTGTAGCCCAGGCAGGCCTCGAACTCACAGAGATTCGCCTGCCTCTGCCTCCCAAGTGCTGGGATTAAAGTGTGCGCCACCACCACCCAGTGAAAAAGTGTGGTAATATTTGAAATAGTCTAAGAAATAAAGCTTGCCTGAAGATTAGAAGTCAGAGCCAGCCACAGAGTTAAAAACAGGTCAGGCAGTGGTGACACACCTTTAACTCCAGTATTCAGGAAGCACACATGCCATTAATCCCAGCACTAGGAATGTTGAGATCGGAAGTGAAATGGCTCGGCAGAGAAAGGAATATAAGGTGTGAGGAGACATGAACTAGAGGCCCTTTTGGCTTAGGACTCAGGAGCATTGAGTCTGAGGATTCTTGGAAACAGGATCGGCTGAGGAGTTGGCAGGGTGAGAAGTAGCTGTGGCTTGTTTCCTCTGATCTTTCAGCATTTACCCCAATATCTTGCTCTGGGTTTTTATTATAAGACCATTTAGGAATTGTGCAATAAAAAGGTATGAATGTAGCTTGAGTTTAAAGAAGGAGAGAGCCATTCTCCAACTCTAAAGTCAGCTTTAAATTTTAATTGAACTGGGACTATTAGAAGACCAATAGTGTTAAATTTTTAGAGAAAAGCAGAAACAAACATTTAGGAAGACATAAAATTTTTTAGATAATATATACCCATACGCCTTTTCACTCTGTTTCCTGGGATAGATGATTTGTCCCTTTTCTCAGTTGTCTCATTTGTCCAGTGTTCTTCAAAAAGGAAGCTGAGTTAAACCAGTATGTATGTTTTAAAGATACTTTGACTTCAAAATTTGGATGTAAGGATATGTTGCTTTGGAAAAGAGTCTCTTTTGTTTCCACAGAAAGCAAGAGGCTATGGATTTGTTCCAGATTAAGACACATCAGGTTTGACCAGCCAAGACCACCTGAAAGGTCTCCGATGACACCATGGCCCAGATGATCCAACATCCAGAACCGTTTCAAGACAACTGGCTCAGATGATACAGCCTCACGGACTACTCCATGATCCTAAAATTTTCTTTGTTTCCCCAGAAGATACAGCGCCCCCCTCCAGCAGGAAGTAGTAAGAAAAGCTACGCCCAAATTCCCAAATATACCAAGCTGACTTTAGAGATATGTAAAGGTTAAAACCTTCCTTTTTAAGAAAAGAAAAGGGGAGGTGCTGTGGGATGGTCTGTATGTCAAATGTGTTGCTGATTGGTCAATAAATAAATCATTGATTGGCCCGTGGCCAGGCAGGAAGTATAGGCGGGACAAGGAGGAGAATAGAGCTGGGAAGTGGAAGGCTGAGTCAGAGAGACACTGCCAGCCGCCATCAGGACAAGGAAGATGTAAAGTACCGGTAAGCCACAAGCCACGTGGCAAGGTATAGATTAATAGAAATGGATTAATTTAAGCTGTAAGAACAGTTAGTAAGAAGCCTGCCACGGCCATACAGTTTGTAACCAATATAAGTCTCTGTGTTTATTTGATCGGGTTTGAGCGGCTTGGGACTGGCGGGTGAGAGAGATTTGCCCTGACTGTGGGCCAGGCAGGAAAACTCTAACAACATATGAATGTTTTAAAAACATGAAAAATTTATAATTTTACTGAAAATATGTAAAATTATCAAATATAATACTTACATATGTTTTCCTTCCTTCCTATTAGAAAAGTATAAATTCATATACAGAACACAGAACCCAGTGTTAGTTTTCAGAGCATTATAAGAGGAAAAGGAGGGAAGGGGAAAGAGGAGAGCCAGGCCTGGAGAGAGAGAAAGATGGGGGAGCAGAACAGAGCAGAGAGAAGAGAGAGAGGGTGGGGCCTGCATCCGGCTTTTAAGGCTCATACCTACTTGCCAGCGCACACTGATGATGTAAGATGCAACACCCTGAACTGCACATAGCTGGAGTTGGGGCAGAATCCTAACAAGCTCAGCTATGAGTTTTGCCTGTAGATTTTGTTTCTGTGTTCCATGAGAATTAAATACACAAGTTGACCATTGTGCTCATCTGTGGAAAGTTTAACTTAAACCCTGGCATCTGCAAGCTTCTCCTACTTAGAATCTCATGCAACCCATACATTGGCAAAAGGTACTGTGACTGATAAGAGTTTACTGAAGGATGTTTATTCAGTCAAAACATCTGTTCCAACTCACCTGTGACAAATGTGGGTGTCAGGACGATCTCACTTTAACATAGTCAGAAACAGTTACATGATGGAGAAATTTATTATATGAATGAATCTTGGTTTTGCTAAAACCTCTCCCCTTTCTTGTTGTTGGGTCACTTGCCTCCCCTAGGTACGCAAGCAAGCCTCACATTTTATGAACAAATAAAGGCCATATAACAAGACAACAAAAAAAGGGGGACCTTAAATCCATTGGGGTGATTTCAATGGGAATGGCCCCCATAGGCTCATGTATTTGGATGCTAAATCACAAGGGAGTAGAACTGTTGGAAAAGATTAGAAGGATTAGGAGGTGTGGCTTTGTTAGAGTGGGTGTGGCCTTGCTGGAGGAAATGTGTCATCAGGACACATTTGAAGTTTCAAAACCCCTTGCCAGGTCCAGCCTCTCTCTCTCTCTCTCTCTCTCTCTCTCTCTCTCTCTCTCTCTCTCTCTCTCTCTCTCTGTGTGTATATATATATATATATATATATATATATATATATATATCTTTCTCTGCCTGTTGATCAGGATGTATCTGTCAACTACTTATCCAGTACCATGAGTGCCACCATGGCCCCACCCTGATAATATTGAACTAAATTTCTGAAACTGTAAGCAAGTCATCAATTAACATTGCCTTGGTATTGGTGAAATTATTAAGGCCACTCACTCCACGTAGTTAAAAGGGAGGTTTATTTTGTGGGGTAACTTACAAGTGAAGGAATAGGTAACAGGGTCTGGGAAAGGTGTAGCGCAGTTCCATGGTGTTCTCTGGAGAATTCTGCTCAGTCTACCTCCAGCATCCAGGGTCCAGAAACCAAGAGAGCCTGCGCATCCAGATCTCAGGTCTTCAGGGTCCTCTCTCAGCCCTGCCTTGTAGGCATGACAGTTACCAAAGCCTCAATGGGGGTTGGAACTTCCAGATCAAAGCTGGAATGGGCACCCACTACACCTTGGTCATGGGTCTCTTCACAGAAACAGAACAGTAACTAAGACACCCATGGTCTTCCCATCACTGCAAGTTTACAAAGGTTTGGAGAAAAACAAGGATGCAAATTGTTTGCGAAACAACTACCAGTCACTTACTCAGGACCTGTCACGGCACAGCACTTAGACCTCTAGAGGCCCCTACTAAGAGAAAGGCTGGAATACTGCACCCAGGGTACCATCTACCTTTCTAACCAAAATCCACTCTCCATCTAACTACTCAATGATGGCCATTACATAAGAAAGAATATTACCCTGAGAGAAACGTGGCCCCTCGTACTCATCATCCCATGGCTCCGGCACTGGATAAAACCATTGCTCCTGATGTTGTCCCTTAATTGAACAACTTGAATCTGGAAAATATTTAAAGAAGATAAAATTTATTATATATGTTCATATAGAGTAAAAACCTTCTTGCTCAACAAAGTCTTATTCAACACAACAGGTCACCATTAACCTTGACTAAAATTACTCACCAAAAAGCACTATAGAACATTAGATGTTATGACATCTGGGGATAAAAGTATATAAATATCTTGAAATTCACATTTATGAGGTATTAATTAATAGTCTCTCATTCATAAAACAACTCATTTGACCAACAGTATTTTTCAAGGGGACCCTTCCCTTTTTTCATGTCCTAATCATGTCCCTATGCACAGCTTAAGTCAGTGTTAATGTCCTTATCCAAGATGATCTGATAAACTTTCTCAATATACCTCACTCTAACTAATTTTTTTGATCATATGGTAGGAATCTTACCTAGACAATATAGAGCTTTTTTCAGTGAATTTAAAATCAGGATTTAAAATGATTTTTCATTATCTTCCTTCTTCCTTGATTTTTTCCTACTTTGTAACAGGAGGACAAAAAGAAAAAAAAACAGAAATGCAAAGAATAATTGAAATGAGAATTCATGTCTACTTTGACTTCTAGTTCCACAGCTCCAGATTCCAGTTGGCCATTACTTCTTTTGCATTCTGTAGAATACTTAACAATCAGAATAGTCCTAGTCTATGCATTATGGCAATAACTCAGATTTTATTGATCTTTGCAGTTACAGTATACTTATTCTCTACTCTAGGAAAACAATGAGGTCCTGGCCTCTGCTACTTTAGTGGACATACTGCTACACAGATGTACACATACTTTCTACTGTTGTTGGAAATTCTGTCTATGAGAAACCATTCCTCTTCCAATCTCAGATGTCTGAGTGTGATGGAAGATGAATTTCAAATTCTATGCTAACAGTAAACAAAATGTGGAAGTTAATTATATTAATTTTAAACAGAGAAAATTTGAGTTCAAGAAAAGATATCAAGGATAAAGATGGGCATTGTAGAAAGATACACACACCATCAAGTCTCCTCTAAGAACAAATCCCTTGTACGTACCTAACAACAGAGAATTAAGAAGCAAAACCTGTTACAAACTGCAGAAAGGTAAATACAGTTCTTTAGGTTAGAGATTACAACATCCCTCTAACAGAAAGGAAGAAATTAACAATAGGTACAAATCCAGGCAAGACATAACTGAATGAACAACTCTATTACCAGATCAATATTATTTATGTCTTTGGAGATGACTTCCTATAGTAGAATATATATTTTCTCCAACCTCATGTAGAGCTTTCATGAACATAAACTATATCCTGAGCTATAATACACATATTACAAATTTTTGACTTATATTGTGTGTATGAGTATATTGATTGTATGTATCTATGTGCACCACTTACATGCCTGGTGCCCTCGGAAGCCAGAAGAGGACATTAGATCCCCTGGAACTGGAGTCACAAATATTTTTAGCCACCATGTACATACTGGGAATCAAACCCAAGTTCTCTGAAAGAGCAACCCATGCTGTGAACCACTGATCCATCTCTCCAGCCCAACATATTAGCACATTTTAAAGAATGGAGTCATACTATGACTATTCCTCAACTATAATGGAATTGACATCAATAACAGTAAATGGACCCCACAAGTAGTTTGGAGATGATGTCATATCATTTTGAAATAAAAATTTAGTGAAATAAGAACTCAAGGAAAATTTTTAAGTAGTTTGAACTAAGTAAAAATAGAAATTATCTAAACTTGTAGAATACTAAAAAGCAGTGCTTAAAGGGAAAGTTTTAGCCTTGACTGCTTTTGTGAGAGAATAAAAATTATCTAAAATTCAATCATTTAGACTCCAACTTCCAGAAACTAGAAAAAGAAGAACAAATCAAACACAAAATAAGCAGAAGAGAAATTAGAGTCAGAATCAGTGAACACAGTAGAACAGAGAAAACCAGCAAACTAAAGCTGATTCTTTAAAGGGATCAGTAAAGCTGACCATCAACTAGCCAGAAGAGTTACAAAAATTCAACAATTAGCCAAATTAAGAGGGGGGGAATCACAAAATATGTGTCAATATCATCAAATAACAGAAGCAACATTACTTGAATTCCAACAGACATTAAAGGAACAGTGGAGACTACTATAAAGAATTCTATGTCAAGAAATTTGATAATCTAGATGAAACAGACAAAAATCTTTGAATGACCCACTATGCCTAAATTTACACAAAGAGAAACACTGGGGGAGGGAAGGGGAAGAGAGGAGGAGAAGCGAAGAAAGGAACTAGAGTCTATATGAATAACAGAAGAATTCTTCAGAAACAAAGAATGTTACTAGAAACGATTGAAATTGTACAATGTTTATTGTCATGATGAAGTATATAACTAGTAACAGAGCTTCAAACCACATAAAGCAAAAATTAACTAAATTAAAGAGATACATAAACAGCTTCACAATCATAGATGGAAGTTGTGACACATCTTCCTCAGAAATGAATAGAATAATCTGAACTTTAGAAAGTAGTATAGACACAGAATTTATTAATAAAAGTATCAATTATAGTGACCAAAGAGACATTTATAAAACAGTTCTAATGTAATAATACATATTTTTCAAGTGCTCTAGGTATGTTAATCAAAGTTGATTATGTTCTGGGTCACAAAACAAATCTTTACATTTACGAATGTTAGGGACCAGCAAGATAGATCAGCAGGTAAAGACTTACGCAACCAAGCCAGAGTCTCAACCCTGGAACCAACATAAAAAAAATGAGAGAAAATAACCTACAGTTGTTTTGTGACACCCACACAAATGCTATGGCATGGACACACACACACACACACACACACACACACACACACACACACACACACACACACACACATTAAATACATACATATATACTTTTAAAAAATTAAAGAAGTTTAAATTAATTTCGTATAAAGGCCTGTCAGGCTTCCTTATTTGATTACTAATGAGGTACTGGATCTAAGATTTTTATCTTTTTATACATTTTGAAGTAGTAGGATATAAACTTGTATTTTTGTATTTGAGGAAAAGTCAATTTACTTTCACATTGGTCAGTCTTCTTAGGAACTGTGGTTCTGCTGAAACAGAACTAAGACAAGAGTTCTACCACCTCAGTCAGCAGGCTGGCCTGTCCCATCTTTGTAGTGGTAGTTCATGGACCCTGGTCCTTATCTTGTCCTGCTCCTTCCAGTAGTAACTTCCAACAGCTCTACTTCAAATGCTTAAGACTCCATAACTAGGACACCAATCCAGAGCTGACCTGCTTCCAGGCCACCTTGTCCCTCTTTCCCTTATAATGGAGGACTGTCCCTTCCTGCCTAAGTTCAGTGCCAATACTTTACCCTAGATCCCACTGCTTCCCTTCTCAGAGGTTTTCCTTCCTTCCTTCCTTCCTTCCTTCCTTCCTTCCTTCCTTCCTTTCTTTCTTTCTTTTTTTTTTTTTTTTTTTTTTTGGTACATCTCAACCTTAAAGATGGGATGAGCAAGCAAGCTAGTAAAACATTTCTTTTCAGGCTGTCACTCATCTTCAAATTCAAATGATAACAACAAATAAAATAATCCATTCCATGGAATATTTGTAGAAAACCTGCTTATTAAATATAATCCATTTAAAAGCAATCTGCAGAGTGCTAAAGTTGTCCTGTTAGCCTGCAACAATGGTATATGACTGCAATCCCAGGAGTCAGAAGGTCGAGGCAGAAGGATTATCACAGTCAAACTTAGCCTGAAGAATGGTTTCATTTCCTAAAAGCCTCAGAATGTCACACTTACCGGGCACCAGAATAGTGATGGAGATCAGTAACCCCAAAGCCGAAGTCCTCCCGAAAGCATTCATCTGGAGTGGTTTCTACTTAAATACAAGTCATCACAAATCCCTGGATGGACTCAGTGATCTGTCCCTCGATGTCAGCTGTGCCTGTGCTCAGCTCACCAGATTTACGGGTGACTTTTCTTCCTCATTCATCTATCTTTATCTTCGTCTCCATTCTACGTGCTGCTGGATGATTAAGTCTGCCCAGGAAAAAACGTCAGTAATGTTTTCTGAATGATAAAGAAGCCAAAGCTTAACTCATTCATTCTCTCACGGTATTCAATGCTCCCCACTTTCATGTCTTTCACATTGAGTATATCTGGTTTTATGTTAAGGTCTTTGATCTATTTGGAGTTGAGCTTTGTGCAGGGTGATAGATATGGATCTGTTTGCATTCTCCATGTGCAGAAATCTAGTTTGCCCAGCACCATTCGTTGAAAATGCTGTCTTTTTTCCAGTGTGTATTTCTGGCTTCTTATCAAACCTCAGGTGTCCAGAGGTATGTGAGTTATGTATGGATTTTGAATTCAATTCCATTGACCAACATGTCTGTTTTTATGCTAATACCATGTAGTTTTTATTACTATAGCATTGCAGTACAGCTTGAAATCAGGAATGGTGATACCTCCTGCAGTTCTTTTATTAATCAGGATTGTTTTAGCAATCCCGGGTCCTGGGTTTTTGTTTTTCCATATGAGGCTGAGAATTGACCTTTCAAGTTCTGTCAAGAATTGTATTAGAATTTTGATGGGGATTTCATTGAATCCTTTAGTAGGGTGGCCGTTTTTAATTTGTTAAAAAAAAAAAAAAACTTCTGATCCATGAGCATGAGATATCTTTCCATATTCTGGTATCTTCTCTTTCTTTTTTCAAATAATTGAATTTTTGTCATACAAGGGTTTCACTTGCTTGATTAGAGTTCCCCCAAGATACTTTGTATCATTTTAGGCCATTGTGAAGGGTATTGTTTCCATGATTTCTTTCTCAGTACATTTATCATTTGTGTATAAGAGGACTTCTGATTTCCTTTTGAGTTAATCTTGTATCCAGCCACATCAATGAAGGCGTTTATCAGCTGTAGGAGCTCCCTGGTAGAATTTTGGGGGTCACTTATGTATACTATCACATCATCTGCAAATAAAGATACTTTGACTTCTTCCTTTCTAATTTGTATCCTCTTGATCTCCTTCAGTTGTCTTACTGCTCTAGCTAAGAATTCAAGCACTATGTTGAATAGAGTGGGGAAAGTGGAGAACCTTGTGTTATTATTGACTTTAGTGGAATTGCTTTGAATTTTTCTGCTGAAGTTGATGTTGGCTATGGGCTTACTGTAAAATTCTTCATTATGTTAAGGTTGCCTCTTTCATCCCTAAGCTTTCCAGGATTTTACTTTTTTAATAAATATTTTTTCTCAGCCCAATCATAGTTTCCCCTCCCTCTCTCCTCTCTTCCCAGTCCCCCTCCCCAGCCTGTCCCCTTCCCCCTCACTTCCACTCCTTCTCCTTTCTCTTCAGAAAAGTGTAGACCTCCCATATATATTAGCCAGCCATGACATATCAAGTTGCAGTAAGACAAGTCACCTCCTCTCCTATTAAGGTTGTATTAGGCAACCCAGTAGGAGGGAAGGGTCCCAAAAACCAGAGTCAGAGACAGCCCCTGCTTCCTCTGTTAGGAGTCACACAAGAAGACCAAGCAACACAACTGGAACATATGTGAACAAGGCCTAGGTCAGTCCCGTGCAAGTTCTCTGGTTGTTGGTTCAGTCTCTGTGAGCCCCTAAGAGCCCAGGTTTGTTGAATCCGTGGGGTTTTTGTGGTGTACGTGGCCCCTCTGGCTCTCATAATCCTTCCTCCCCATCTTCCACAGGATTCCCCAGGTCTTCCTAGTGTTTGGCTGTGTGTCTGTATCTGTATGAAGCCTGCAAATCTGGGCTAGGGAATGACCTATGGGTATAGTGGAATATCATTAGGTTTCATTTCATTAACTTTTTCCTTCTTTTGCCAGTCATGTTTGGTTCTATTGTGGTGGTATTGGGTTCCCCAAAATATTGTGCACCCTAATAAACTTATCTGGGGTCAGAGAACACAACAGCCACTAGATACAGAGGCTAGAATATGGTGGCATACATGCCTTTAATCCTAGTATTCCAGAGGCAGAAATCCATCTGGATCTCTGTGAGTTCAAGGCCACATTGGAAACAGCCAGGCATAGTGACGCATGCCTTTAATCCCAGAAAGTGAGCCTTTAATCCCAGGAAGTGAGGGCAGAAAGCAGAAAGGTATATAAGGCGTGAAAACCAGGAACTAGCTGGTTAAGTATTCAGGCTTTCGAGAAGCAGTTCTGCTGAGATTCATTCTGGATGAGGACTCAGAGGCTTCCAGTCTGAGGAAACAGGATCAGCTGAGGAACTGGCGAGGTGAGGTAGCTATGGCTTGTTCTGCTTCCCTGATCTTTCAGCATCCACCCCAATACCTGGCTCCAGGTTTTGTTTTTTTTTATTAATAAGACCTTTAAGATTCATGCCAGGCGGTGGTGTCGCATACCTGTAATCCCAGCACTTGGGAGGCAGAGGCAGGTGGATCTCTGTGAGTTCGAGGCCAGCCTGGACAGGCTCCAAAGCTACAGAGAAACCCTGTCTCGAAAAACCAAAAAAAAAAAAAAAAAATTCATGCTACTTTCTCTCCTAGGTCTCTGGGTTGTCCAGCCTCTAGGTTGTGGCCCTCTATCCTGTGTCAGGGGTGGGATGCCTCTCATAGTATGGGTCTCAAGCTGGACCAGTCAAATTATGTTGGTCACACCCATAATTTCTGCTCTTTCTTTGTCCCATCATGCCTTGTAGGTCAAAGGTTATGTGGCTGGGTTGGTGTCCCAGTCACTCCAATGGAAGTCTTGCCTGGTTATGGGAGATGGCCAATTCAGGCTCCATATCCCCAATGCTAGGAGTCTTAGCTAGCATTCATAGATTCCTGGGAGTTTCCATTCCACTAGGTTTCCGGCTCATCCTAGAGGTGCCCTGACTCCAGTTGTCTATTCCAGTATTCTCTTCCTCCATCCTCCTCACCTTATCCTTCCTGTTCCCATGCCTATCCCCCAATCCAGACCTCTTCCCCATCCACCTGTGATGTCTGTTCAATTTCCACTTCACAGTGAGATTCATGTGTCCCTGCCTTGAGCCTTCTTTGTTACATAGCTTCTTTGGGTCTGTGGATGGTAGCACAGTTATCCCTTAATTTATGGCTAATATCCACCTATAAGTGAGTACATACCATGTTCGCCTTTCTGGCTCTGGGTTACCTCACTCAGCATCAGCTTTTCTAATTCCATTGATTTGCTGGAAAATTTCATGATGTTACTGTTTTTAATAGATGAGTAATACTCCATTGTGTAAATGGACCACATTTTCTTTCTTCATTCACAGTTGATGGATGTCCAGATTGTTTCCAGTTTCTAGCTATAACAAATAAAGCTGCTATGAGCATAGTTGAGCAAGTGTCTTTGTGGTATGGTAGAGCATCCTTTGGGTATATGTCTAGAACTGGTATAGCTGGGTCTTGAGGTATGTCAATTCCCAATTTTCTGAGAAACTAGCATATTGATTTCTACAGTGGCTGTACCAGTTTGAATTCCCAGCAGCAATGGAGGAGTGTTCACCTTGCTGCACATCCTCTCCAGTATAATTGTCACTTATGTTATTGATCTTAGCCACTCTGGTAGGTTTAAGATAGAATCTCAGAGTTGTTCAGATTTGTGTTTTCCTGTGGGCTAAATATGTTGAACATTTCTTCAAGTGTTTCTCAGTCATTTGAGATTCCTCTATTGACAGTTTGTTGCTAGAGTTTTCCTGCCTGGCCCACAGTCAGGACAAATCTCTCTCACCCGCCAGTCCCAAGCCGCTTAAACCCGATCAAATAAACACAGAGACTTATATTGGTTACAAACTGTATGGCCGTGGCAGGCTTCTTGCTAACTGTTCTTACAGCTTAAATTAATCCATTTCTATTAATCTATACCTTGCCACGTGGCTTGTGGCTTACCGGTACTTTACATCTTCCTTGTCCTGATGGCGGCTGGCAGTGTCTCTCCCACTCAGCCTTCCACTTCCCAGCTCTAGTCTCCTCCTTGTCCCGCCTATACTTCCTGCCTGGCCACGGGCCAATCAGTGATTTATTTATTGACCAATCAGCAACACATTTGACATACAGACCATCCCACAGCAACAGTTCTCTGTTTAGATCTGTATCCCTTTTTTGTTTTTGTTTTTGTTTTTGTTTTTTGAGACTGATATCTCTGTGTAGCTTTGCGCCTTTCCTGGAACTCGCTTTGTAGACCAGGCTAGCCTCACAGAGATCCGCCTGGCTCTGCCTCCCGAGTGCTGGGATTAAAGGTGTGCGCCACCACTGCCCTCCTGTATTCCATTTTTTAATTGGATTATTTTGTTTGTTGATGTGTAGGTTCTTGAGTTCTTTATATATTTTGGAGATCAACTCTCTGTTAGATGTGGGGTTGATGAAGATCTTTTCCTACTCTGAAGTCTGTCATTTTCTTCCTTTCTTTCTTTCTTTCTTTCTTTCTTTCTTTCTTTCTTTCTTTCTTTCTTTCTTTCTTCCTTCCTTCCTTCCTTCCTTCCTTCCTTCCTTCCTTCCTTCCTTTCTTTCTTCTTTTTCGGTTTTTGAAACAGGATTTCCAGCTCTAGCTGGCCTGGAAATCACAATGTAGACCAGGCTGGCCTGGCACTCACAGAGATCTGCCTCCCAAGTGCTGAGATTAAAGGTGTGTACCATCATGTCCAGGATCTTCAGGACTTTTATAATGAAGGGCATTGGATTTTGTCAAAGTCATTTCTGAATCTAATGAGATATAGTTTTATTCTCTCAGTTTGTTTATATGGTGAACTACATTTATTGATTTTTATATATTGCCCTATCCCTAAGATGAAGTCAGCTTGATCATGTTGTATGATCTTTTTGATGTGTTCCTGGATTTGGTTTGCCAGTATTTTATTGAGTATTTTTGCATCTATGTTCATAAGGGAAATTGGTCTGTAATTCTCTTTCTTGATTGGGTCTTTATGTAGTGTGGGCATCATGGTAACT